AATTTTTTTTCTTTTTTTAATATTTTATAATATTATTGAAATCTTATAATTTTAATCTTTATAATTTTATCTTACTTTTTTTTATAAGTATAATTTGGATTATTTATTTTATAATTAAATTATTTTTTAAATTTTTTTTATAAGTTTATATATAAAAATGTATTAAAATCATTCGATGTTTGAGAGTACGTAACAACTCCCTTTTATCAGTGCTTCCGTTCTGAATTAAGTGACAAAATTGCTTGATAGTTTGAGCTCCAAAATTGGTATTAAGGTATGATGGTATACATGACTATAACTTTTATCACATGCATGCTAGCGGTTCATTATCAAATGACAAATAAATTTTATGTTTAGTTATATAATCCTTATCATTTAATAAAAAAATAATACAAAAATTGACTAAAATCACCGTGTATCACCCAGGTAAATCATGTAGTAGAGATTAAAAGATAAAAGAGGGTAAAAAAAATAAATAGATAAATATTAATTATTAGATTTATTATAAATTGGCAAGATTAAAATACACAAATAAAGTATGTTTTTTTTAAATAAGTTTTTAATCCCTCACCTTTTTAAGTATTTTATTTTTAGTCTTTTTTAAATTTTTATTCAATTTTAAGTTTTCATTATGTAAATTAACCCTGATGACTGAATCTCTTATTTTAAATGATGTTTGTTAATAAATTATGATTCATCTGTTCATGTAGTTATTTGATAGGTATCAAATCACATGACATTTGTAATTTTTTTATTCATCATGCTTAGATATTCATTTCTTTTTTGAAAATAAAAGATGTTGTTAAAATAACTCTATCCATATAATTATGTGAACAAATAATACAATTGCATACATTATGTGATTTGATAATTTTTAGGTAGTTTATGGATAATAATAGTCAAGTTCATTGTTATTTATTAGGATACATCATTATTTAACACAGGAGACTTCACTTATATGGACTAATTTATGTGACAAAATTAATTAAAGATTAAAAATTGACAATTTTTTTTAAGAAAGACTAAAAATTGAATTCTTAAAGTTTTGAGGAACTAAAAGCTTATTTAGCCTATTTTTTTATTAAAAAAATCACAAAATGTTTTTAAATGATTATGTTTTTTTTAAAATATATTAGTGTTCAACGGTTCATGTGCCCTCAAATATTAAACATCAATATATCATTATATAACACCATTTATTCCTACACAAAATAAAAAATTATTACAAGATAAGCCTCTCATGTAAATTCCATAGAAATATTTTTGGATCAGAGTTTTATATGCTTTTTCATTGCTATGTTTCTGCAACTACCTTCTTCTATCAATATTTATATAAAGTTTGTTTGATTTTTTTTTCATAAACACTTATAAAAAAATTAAAAATGTAAAATAAATTAGTTTCTTCATAAACTAAATAAATTAATTTATAAGTTAAAAAACATATTTGAAAATTAACTAACAAGGGTAATGTTCTCCAAATTAATTTATACATAAGTAAATTTTAACTTAAGAAAAAGTTATTTAAAAAAAAATTCCTTAATAATATTTATAGAAAAGTTTGTCTAAACATATTCATAATAATGAATTGTTTTTCCTATGCACTCAATATTTTTTCCTGTCAATTATTTTCTAAATTAAATTTATATTCGGTCTTCTATTGTTTACCCGTGGCTAGAAGGAAAAGAAAAAAAAAACTTCTTTTGTTTCTCCTATGCAAGTAATTTTCTCTCGTCAAATATTTTCTAAATTAAATATACGTATTCAATTTTTTTTGTTCAAATTTTGTAATGATTTTTCTCTCGTCAAATATTTTCTAAGTTAAATATATGTATTTGAATTTTATAATAAAAAAATTATAGTTAGAAATAAAAACTCTACTAGAAAAAATCAATCATATTTTTTAAAGATTAGTTTTTGATAAAATTCACACATATTTTATAAAAGAAAAATATGAATAATAAAAAAAATTTCTATGTATCCATGTTGTGGATTATTTCTAACAATATAAACACTCAAATCAAATATAGACATAAAAGTTTGATCCTAGCTAGTCTTTTCTTTCCAAAAATATCAAACACTTACTTCACCAATCACCGGTGTGCCTTTAACAAGTTGCTCAATCTTAGTCCTCAACGAAATTTTTAGAGGCCATTGACCTATAGTTGCATATGATAAAGGTAACCATTTATTTAAAGTTGAAATTAACCACAAACTAAAACATCAAAAGGTCATAATCGCCCCATCACCATTCACCAGCCATCACTTAAAAATTTTAAAGCGACCAAAATATATTCTATCATTTTATACATGTATTACATTAAAAAAAAAAAAAACTAACAATTTAGATAATAAAATTTTATAATTATATCACGCTTATTATTTAGTTATAAAAAGAAATGTATAAGAGATAATGATTTTAATTTAATTTTTAAAATAATATAAAAAATTATAACACAATTATATAACTTTTTAAAACAAATTAAACTTCTCTTAATCATATAAAAAAAACCTCTTAATCATGATTGTTACACTTCAAGACTAATATATTAAAGATCTCACGTGGATTAATAATATAACTAAAGTAAAGTACATAAGTGATTTTTTTTTATTTTATAAAATAATTTTAGAAAGTTAAATTAAATTTCAATTCATTTTATTAAAATAATACCATATCTTATTACGGTAATTCACAGATTGTCGTTAGTTGTAAGTACTTGACTAGGTGGCAAATAGCAATCCTTGGTTTAGGAACAATTCATCTGGGAATTGGACAGTGTCACATAAACTGTCGACGAGTTAAAGCATCGAAACTGTTGAGCTCGTGGTAGAACTGTCGACATACAAAGGTCCCTTCAATAAGCACCAAACCACCAACCCTTCATTATTTTCACCAATACCCACAAAAAGCCAAAACAGAATGACCCAAAACCAAAGGCAATGTCTTCCTGTCTTATATCATTCTCTTTCACCCACGTATATTTTACACTTACACTATCTTCTAAAGCAGCTTCATAACCCATCAAACTTAGCCAAATGAAATGACACTTCCTTTTTTTATTTTCGCACTCTTAATGAGCTTCTCATTTTGCCTGGCAATGCCAATAATTCACAAGTTGGTCTTCTAGTAAAAACAAAACAAGTGACCCACCCAAACCAGAAATATTGGAAAATTAATATGGAAATCATAATTAATATTTGTGTACCACATGCATCCCCTTTGGCCATAAGCTCATTCTCACGTTTCCTAGTTAAATAGGTAGTGTGCAGGTGCCGCACCATCAAAAAAAGGGTAACAAACTCTAAGTCCCTATTTGCCTTTCTTTCATAAATCCATGTCCGCCAACAGCATTATTTAACAACGAGTCAAATACTGAAACTCTTCATATCCAAATCACATTTTAACAGTCTCTTTCTTCTTATTGCTCGTGTAACAATTTCATGGCTAAACTTTTCCTCCTTCTCTTAACAATCTTCTTCTCACACACTATAGCTGTCACAACCCCAACAATGCATGCAAAACTCTCTTCCATAAACACAACCAAATCCCACCCTGAAGTTTCCTTCAATTCATCTAAACTTTCCATCTCAATAAACATAAATCCAAACATCATCAACACCCTTCTTCAGTCCCTCCAAGAAGCAATATCCGAAGCCACAAAACTATCTGATCTATTAAACAATGCTGGACACTCAAGCATCATAGAGAACAAAATAGGAGCAGTTCAAGACTGTAGAGAGCTTCAACAATCCACCTTAGCTTCCTTGAAACGATCACTATCAGGGGTCCGCTCTCAAGACACCAGAAAACTAGTTGATGCAAGAACCTACCTCAGTGCAGCACTCACCAACAAGGACACATGTCTAGAAAGCTTAGATTCTGCCTCAGGTACCCTTAAGCCTGTTCTGGTGAATTCTGTGATTGACTCTTACAAGCATGTCAGTGACTCTCTTTCAATTCTCCCTAAGCCTGAGATGAAGGCTTCCAAAGGACGCAAGAACCGGCGTTTGTTGTGGCTGTTGAGGAAAAACCATCGCATCTTGCAAAGCAATGATGGAGTGATTGTTGTGGCAAAAGATGGAACGGGGAACTTTAGCACCATCACTGAGGCTATCAGTTTTGCTCCAAATAACAGCGTTGGTAGGACAGTGATCTATGTCAAAGAAGGGACCTACGAGGAGAATGTTGAAATCCCAAGTTATAAGACTAATATTGTTCTGCTTGGCGATGGAAAGGATGCCACTGTTATTACCAGCAACAGAAGTGTCATTGATGGCTGGACCACTTTCAGATCTGCAACTGTAGGTAAACCCTTAATATGGATGGAAGTATTAATGTTCCTAATATGCCTTATGTTATAACTCTATGAACTGATCACTTTGATTTTGTGTACGTGGCACTGACTAATTTGTTATGGTTACAGTTTAGCTAAGCTTTTAGCTTATGAGAGCTTTTTTAATTCTAAAACTTCAAAGACTTATTTATGACAAGAATGTTCAACTTTGTTTAGTTTATAGGTACTCAAAGAGAAGTGGGAGTTTTTATATGAAAATGGTTCAGGTGCATGGATTTATTTTAAGGAAAAAACTTTAGCTACACTTGTTTAGGTGTTAATAGAATTATGGTTTAATTAACCTTTTTTCTTTATAATTTCATGAACTTTATTTTCTAATTTTTATAATTATACATACAATTTCTTTTCCTTTTAATACCTATAGTTATAAACAACTAAGACTAAAACAATAAAAAAAATGATATAAAGACTAAAATAAAATATTTTTAATTATAGAGATTAAAAAAATTATAAAATTATATGAACTAAAAGATAATTAAACGTAGTATTATTCTCTTTCAGAATTAAAGTTTTATAATAAAGGTTTACATTAAAGATGAATATAGGTTACCATGTAAAATTTCAATTTTCATCGGAAAAACAGCACTGGAAACATACGAGTTTTATTTAAATTGACTCATAGCAACATGATTTTTTCATGCTTTTGTGTTTCTAGTAGATGTCTTGAAACTGCAATTGCTGATCATTCACTCTTTTTCTTTTTCAGCGGTCTCTGGTGAGGGCTTTCTAGCACGTGATATAGCTTTTGAGAACAAGGCAGGGCCAGAGAAGCATCAAGCAGTGGCCTTGAGAGTGAATGCAGACTTCACTGCTTTTTTCAGGTGTGCCATGTATGGTTTCCAAGACACTCTGTATGTCCACTCCTTTAGACAGTTCTACAGGGAGTGTGGCATTTATGGGACCATAGATTTCATATTTGGCAATGCAGCAGTGGTTTTACAAGCAAGCAACATTGTGTCTATGATGCCATTGCCTGGCCAATTCACTGTTATCACTGCACAGTCCAGAGATTCCCCTGATGAGGACACTGGCATCTCAATCCAAAACTGCTCAATTCTTGCCACCAAAGATTTGTACTCCAATTCTGCTAGTGTCAAGAGCTACCTTGGGAGGCCATGGAGGGTATATTCTAGAACTGTTTTCCTCGAGTCCTACATTGATGTGTTTATTGATCCAAAGGGGTGGACTGAGTGGTCTGTTGATGAAGGCTTGGACACTTTGTATTATGGAGAGTATGCAAATTATGGACCTGGTTCAGGCACGGATAACCGAGTCACGTGGGAGGGGTATCATTTGATGGATTACAACAGTGCCTACAATTTCTCAGTTTCAGAGTTTATAATTGGTGGTGCTTGGCTTGGGTCTACTTCATTTCCTTATGATGATGGGATCTAATAAAGAACAAGGAGATAAATTAGATAGCTTTAGCTTGTCCCACTTGGTCTCTACTAATATAAAATAACAAGGTGAAGCTAATTTTAATGGTATAGTTAAATAAGTGCCGTGAAAAGTTGAAAAGATGTAACAAAATGATTTAAACCATTCAAAATATATGAGAGAGAAGAAATAAATATTTCCAAATGATGACATAATATATTGCTCGTGCAACTTTAGCATTTTCCTTTAAGTATTTGTATATTCCTATCTTAGTTTAATGTTTTATCTCATAAAAACACAATTATGGCAGTGATGTCAAAAAGTACAAGGTAATTTTAGATTAAAAGAAGTGGATTAAAATCATTAAGGGGATCATGCACTGCATACATTTGGATGTTTTCACTGAATTTTAGGGTCAGCTATAAGACTAAATAAACGTAATCCTAGATCGGACAAACGTCATATTCTTTAGGAGGAAGGATGAAAATGACTGGTGTGAGATAAAGTTTGAAACAGATTAGGCATGTATTGGGTTTGCATGCTCTTTTTACTTGCATGCTACTTTTGGGCTTTCGAAACACGGTGATAAATAAGGTGGAAATCGCAAGACCATGCATGCATGGGAAGCTGTCACACGTTACCAAAATAGAAACACCTAAAACGTCTCTCGTCCACTCCCCATGCGAACATACGTCATTAAAGTTCCAAGCGGTGAAACACTCACAAATTGTAAAAAGGAGTCAAAGGACTAACCTCCCTTGGATCTCTTTCTACCTCTCTTCTTCGAGACTGGTTTCAAGTTGAACCTAAGGCAGAGAGAGTCTCCTCTGCCTTAGACATTTTCTCACAATGGCGTTCCAAGACTTTGACCTCATCTCAGAGCGGCGAAGAAATGAGAAGAGGCAAAAGATGAGGAAGAGGATCATGATCGGCGTGGTTTCTTCCGTTGTCCTGGTCGGCATGATAGGTGCAGTACTCTTCATCGTTGTGAAAAACGACGACACCGGCAATAGTAATAATAAAAATAGCAAGGAAAGCGGCAAGGCACAGAAGAACCATACACCAACAAACACCGCCAACAACCCGCACGTGACAGTATCCGATAAGATTGTGAAACTGGTGTGTAGCACCGCGGATTACAAAGACAGATGCGAAGAGCCTCTTAACAAGGCGATCCAGAACGACCCCAAACTCTCACAACCCAAAGAACTTCTCAAGCTATACGTGAAACTCGCGGAGGACGAGATCAACAAGGCCTTCAACAAAACCGTTTCCATGAACTTCCAATCCGAGGAAGAGAAAGGAGCGTTCGAAGATTGCAAGAAGCTCTTCGAGGATGCTAAGGATGACATAGCAACGTCAATCTCCCATCTCGCGCAAACCGAGGTGAAGAAGGTTTCTGAAAAGATTCCTGACTTCAACAGCTGGCTCAGCGCTGTGATCACATTCCAACAAGACTGCGTTGATGGTTTCCCCGAGGGGAACGTGAAGACCGAAGTTCAGACTGGCTTCAAGGATTCAATGGAATTCATTAGCAACTCCCTTGCCATTCTTTCTCAGGTGGCATCGGCTATAACCACCACGGGGCAACAAAACCTTTCGGCACGTGGACGTTTGTTGCTATCTCAGAATCCTATCGCCAATAACTCACCACTTGATTCTCTAGACAAAACTGATGGCCTTCCTTCTTGGATCAACCACGAAGACCGAAGGGTGTTGAAGGCCATGGATAACAAACCTGAACCTAATGTCACTGTTGCAAAAGATGGCAGTGGAAAATTCAAAACCATCTCTGAAGCTTTAAATGCTATCCCTCAAAGCTTTACAGGACGGTATGATCCTCTCAATCGTGAATCAGAGACACCCCATCTTGCTATAAGTTGCATTTTCTATATGTTTGATATCATGTGAGCTTGTGAAAATGCAGGTATGTGATTTATGTCAAAGAAGGAGTGTACGATGAGCAAGTCACAGTAACTAAGAAAATGCAAAATATAACCATATATGGTGATGGATCCCAAAAGAGCATCATCACTGGCAACAAAAACTACAGGGACGGAGTCAGGACCTTCCTAACTGCAAGTTTTGGTATGTCTAAAACTAAACTCCCTTCATGAGGTACATAAGTGTATTTCAAGAATTAGAGTTAGTTTAAATAGAAGCTTGAAAGCACTTCGGAGGGGTTCTATAATCTATACTAGAAAAACTTCTTTATTTTTTATAAATAAAAAAAAAAAAACTCTTAAAAGCGTTTCTGGCTTATATTCAAGCAGATTCTTAATCTGATGTCTTATTTATAGATGAGTAACATATTGCATGTGCAGTGGTAGAGGGAGACGCATTCTTAGGCATGGCAATGGGATTCAGAAACACTGCAGGCCCTGAAGGGCACCAAGCAGTGGCTGCAAGAGTGCAGGCAGATCGTGCAGTGTTTGCCAACTGTCGTTTTGAGGGCTACCAAGACACTCTATACACCCAAGCCCACAGACAGTTCTACAGGAGCTGCATCGTTACAGGCACAATTGACTTCATCTTTGGTGATGCAGCTGTGGTGTTCCAGAACTGCATCATGATAGTTAGGAAGCCAATGGACGGCCAGCAGAACATGGTGACTGCTCAAGGGAGAAAGGACAAGCAACAAGCCACAGGAATTGTGCTGCAAAAGTGCACCATCAAAGCTGATGACTCACTGGTTCCAGAGAAGGACAAGATCAGGAGCTACCTTGGGAGGCCATGGAAGGAGTACTCAAGAACCATTGTCATGGAATCAGAAATAGGTGACTTCATTAACCCTGATGGGTGGACAGCGTGGATGGGAGACTTTGCACTCAATACTTTGTACTATGCTGAGTATGCCAACACAGGACCTGGTGCCAGCACCAGTGCTAGGGTCAAGTGGCCTGGGTACAAGGTCATCAACAAGGATGAGGCAAGCAAGTTCACTGTGGGCACTTTCTTGAAGGGTACATGGCTCCAGAGCACAGGGGTGCCTGCTGTGCAAGGCTTGATCAATTAAACGCTTTGCTTCAAATTTCTTACCCCTTGAGCTGCTGCATGTTGTTAGGCACACTGGGAAATAAAGCTGATGGTGTTGCTCATTTTGATGAAATGTATTTTTTTTTTCTTTCTTTATTTTTTACTGTAAAATTTTTACAAAAAATTAATCTTCAATTGTAATCTTGCACTAACTACAGTGGGGTGGAACATACTTGAATAGAATTGTGTGTCACCAAATGTTGAAGTAAATAGAAGAATCATTATACGAGTGATTATCTGTTCTTGCAGATAAAAGAAGTTGGGTCTGAAGTGAACTAAATAATTTTGTTTTATCTCTTGTACTTGCAAATGCAGGGGAAACTACTATCGGTGTAATTGTTAATTTTTCACGAAAAAAATAATATATAAATAAAATGAAATTAAACACTCCATGTTGAATCAAATTTTCTGTAGTTGTCATGAATAAGTTCATGATCTTTTGAAACATAAGGCAGGTACTTGGGGCCAATTGGTTAATTATATTTCATTCCTATGAGACACAGACAAAACAAATGCAAAGAGCTGTCATGATCTATACACCATACCGGCCCCCGTTCCAACCACACACAGAAAGAAAGCTGGCCAACTAATTCAAAAGTCGCTTGCCAAAAAAAAGTTATTCTATTTGCAATCATACCTGGCATCTACGTTGTTTATTAAACAAAATGGATCAGTAGCTGATAGACATTTGTTTAGGTTTTAAATTTGTCTTTGTGTATCAATTAGTTTTTGTAGGCGACTCCAGAGAATCTTCTAGTTAAGAGACATAAACTAGTTTTTCAATGTAATGTGATCTATTTAAGGAATTATTTTTTCTCAACAAATACTGTTTTGTGCTCACGGACTTCTATACACACAGATCTTGAGGATTAAACTTTTGGAAACATGATTATCTATCAATTATACATTTATACTACACCACGTTTGTATATTGATGGATAAAACTTACATGCATTATTATAAGTGTTGCTGTATATATTGAAAACATATACCAACAATAATAAGCATTAAAACTTTTGGCCGTATGTTTAAAGAACATGATCATCTATCAATTATATTACACCAGGTTAGTATATTTGATGGATAAAACTTACATGCATTAGTATAAGTGTTGTTGGTGCTGTTTTTTAATCATAATTAAAATTTTACATTTCTATATTAAATGACGCGTATTATTAATGTAAAACACCAGTTATGATTGTGATTAGAAAACCAACAATACCTATGATTCTGTACTTTAAGTTTCGTCCATTTTGGATTAGTTTAGTTACAACATTATATATGACACTTGCAGAGCCCCTAAACAATCAGAGGCAGACATGGCATCAAGGAAAACTTTCAACCTTGTTCTGCCCATTTTGTTGATGAATTGCTTTGTTCAGCTTGGTCAATGTGGTAGGCCACATAACGCAGAAGAAAGAGAGGATTTGGTCACAGCAACTTGCAAGCACACCCTTCATTTTCAAGTATGCATTTCTTCCTTGAGATCAGTCCCTGGCAGCAGCAAGACATCAGATCTAAAAGTGCTTGCTGAGATTGCATTGAATCTGACCACAACATATGCTGCAGATACTTTGTCCTATGTCTATCAGCTGCAATCTTCTTCTGCTTCAAATGGCTCCAATAACAATTACGTGTCCCGTTGCTTAAGTGACTGTGTGGAGGAATACTCAGAAGCCATAGAGAACTTGCATCACTCAAAACATGCACTTGCAAATGGAGATTGTGACAGAGTGGATACGTTGGTTTCTGCTGCTATGTCAGATGCTGAGACATGTGAAGATGGCTTCAAGGACATGCAAAGTGAAGACAGTGAATATTCCAACTCTCCTCTTACTGAACGTAATCGTTACTTCTCTCAACTCTGTAGTAATGCTCTTGCCATTTCAAAACTACTAGTTTGAGTCAATCTTGTTCTTCCAAGGTGCTGTTAATGTTATATTATGTTAACAATGATTTATATCTATGCTAATGTTTTTACTTATTAATGTCATGTTTTTGGTTTTTTAAAAAGTATTCCGTTACCAACTAAAGTATGTGATAAAGTATCAAATCAACAAGTATTACACGTTACAATTTTTGATGTGGCAAATACCTTGTCCGTGATAATAACCTTTTGTATTTGCTTAAAAATAAGTATTGAATAATAGTTGTGAATTATATATATTATTTAATTAAACACATTTTACTTTTATTTTTAAGCTAGTATTTTAAGGCACTTCATCGTTTTTCTAATTATCATGCAAGAATTCAAATCTCTTCCTCAAAAAATAGGTTTTTTTTTTTGTACTAATAAACTTTTTTTCTTTTATACATTTCACAAGAAAAAAATACCAACAAATGTTTTTTTTTTTTTGTATAATGGATAAAAATATACAGTTTAAATAATTTTAATTTAAACAATTTATTGAAAATTAATTGAGAGATGCAAGACTTAACAAATATTAGAATTTGAGTTTACGATTTAATCAATTCCAAAAAAAACTAATTCGTAAAGTAAAAAATGTTAAAACCTTGCAAAAAAAAATTACATTTATTATATCTCTAATGACATCTTATCATTTTTTTCCGATGTAAAAAATCATCTCAACAAATTATAATGGTATTTCAATACCTTAAATTCATATATGTTTTTTATACAGGTTGAAAGTATTTTTGATTACATATATTTTCTTTTATTATATCATTGAACATCCTCATCATTCTTTTATTAAGATAATTATGTTTTAATATATATGACTATTTCTAAAAAATTATAGTTATTGTCAAAGTTCATAGTATTTAAAAAGTATTTTTTTATCTTAACTTTAATAATTTCTTTTTATACTTGTATTTGAGTATATTGGCATTCTCGATTTTATGAGGGTAATTCGACAAATCTCAATGTCACATATTGCATCTACTCCCTTCTTTATATTATGACTTTAAGCAATTAGTCTAACAACAAAAGAAAATCGATTGGTTCGATCAACTAAAAAAGTCAATTACATTGACTTTATTGGGAAGTCAATTTAATTATTTGGTCAATGGGTAGATTAGATGTATCCAATCCTCAACCTTAAATGCTTGAATGAAGAGACTCAAGTAAAAAGGTCACTCAATTAGATCAAACAATGAAAATTTTATATAAAATTTTCTATCTAAAATAATCAAATTTAAATGATGATTTTCTTTATGTTGAAGTGGGAAACATCACAATGTTTGTAACTATTAGTTATGGTTGAAAAAAAAAATATTGTTGGAGCATTCAATGAGTAGTCAATCTTTGTATGCAACCATATTACCTTTATACTAACATCATCTCCTATCTTTCGAAATTTTATGTATGTAACTTCCCTTTCTACTAACATCATGTTTTTGGAAAGTTTATGTATGTAATTATATCCCTATGACCCATAATCTAAGAAACAATTTTATCTTGTTATATCAATTAAATTTTATTTTTACAAAATTTTAAGAAACGAGATATATAATCACTATAATTGAAATTATAGTAAACTATATTAATAAATACAACCCCTTCCCCCAATTAAATAAATAGGAATTGGAATAAATGACCCAAACAAAAACCTATTTTTGTATTGGGCCGTCTGAAGACAAAATGGGCCTCTTTGTGTGTTTTAACTAATTAATTAATTTCTGGAGGGAACGTTTTGTATAAATATATCTCATATTTTCTTGTTAAGCTTGTCAAGTAAGCTTCTTGGTTTGGGGCCACAGAAGAATTATTTTGGCGCCTCACCAATTCTTTTGAATCTTCACCCTCTCTTCATTCTTCTCTTCACCCACTTGGCTTCGTTCTCGTCAATTGAATCTCTGAGGGGTCATGTCTGCAACTGCAACCATGGAGCAGCAACGCCACCAGAAAACGCCCCAACAACAGGACGAAGCCGAAGACATTCAGCATGGCCCTCTTCCCGTCGAGCAACTTCAGGTCCCTTCTCTTCAAAGATCCCTTCTTGTTCATTATTTCACCAACCCCATTAATCTAATTTCCTCCATTTCGCTTTACTGCCTTCAATTACACCCTCGCCACCATTTTTTTAGGTCAAGATTCCCCCTTTTCGTGTTTTCTGCTTATACCCTAATGCTTAATTTTAATCTCAGGCATCGGGCATAGCCGCCACAGACGTCAAGAAGCTTAAAGACGCGGGCATTTGCACCGTTGAATCCGTTGCTTACACTCCCAGGAAAGACCTTTTGCAAATCAAGGGTATCAGTGAAGCCAAAGTTGACAAGATCATCGAAGCAGGTAAAGAAAACACCTTCACCCTTGTTTCCCTTATTGCCCGTTTCTTGTAATTGTGAAGGTCTTGTGACGTTTGTTTTCTGTTCTTTATTGACAGCTTCTAAGCTTGTGCCTATGGGGTTTACCAGTGCCAGTGAACTCCATGCCCAGCGCGATGCAATCATTCAGATTACCACGGGATCAAGAGAGCTTGACAAGATATTGGAGGGTAAGAATCAGAAACAATTAAGACCTTTTTAGGGTTTATGGAACATCGTGATTTTTAATGTTGGAGTGTCTTGACTTGATATGTGGTTCTTTCTATCAGGTGGAATTGAGACTGGTTCTATCACTGAGTTATACGGTGAATTTCGATCCGGGAAGACTCAGCTGTGTCACACTCTGTGTGTCACTTGCCAAGTGAGTAGTGTAGTTTCCTTTCATGCTCATGCTCAATGACAGTTGCTCTAGTGCACTCGGTTTTAAAGATTGAGTTTGTGAAACTTTTGGTTTTAATCGAACTGTAATTCTCACGCCTTCACCTAATTCTGATTCATTGTTGATGTCGTAGTTGCCGCTAGACCAAGGAGGTGGTGAGGGTAAAGCTATGTACATAGATGCTGAGGGCACATTTAGGCCTCAGCGACTCTTACAAATAGCAGATAGGTATAAAGAATGATTCTTGATATGAATTTTCTGCTTCCATGTATATGTGATATATGTAATGCGTTCAGTGTTAATTTTTCTTTGTGCTCTGCAGGTTTGGGCTGAATGGTGCTGATGTATTGGAAAATGTGGCTTATGCTAGAGCATATAACACTGATCATCAATCACGGCTTCTGCTTGAAGCTGCGTCAATGATGGTGGAAACAAGGTGTGATTTGCGATGGATCCCTTTGTTCAATATTGTTAAGATCTGCCAACATTACCATTTTACCACACATAATGATGCTCAAGTGAATAATACCATAATAATTTGTTCTCATCTTGCTTTATCACGGGGTGGTGTTGTTACTAGCTGAAGTGTTTTATTCCTTCATATTTTTTTTTCTTGTGCTAGAGCTGTAAGATTTTCTGTAACCAGCGATATCTGATTGTGGAAACTCTTTTTGTTAGCGGCTTACATTTTGATTGTATATACACAGGTTTGCTGTAATGATAGTAGACAGTGCTACTGCCCTCTATAGGACAGATTTTTCTGGAAGGGGGGAGCTTTCAGCCCGGCAAATGCATCTAGCAAAGTTCCTGAGGAGCCTTCAGAAATTAGCGGATGAGGTAAAACTCCTAGTTGGGCTGGCAGTGCACCTAACCTTCTAGGTTAAACTAATTCAAGCTTCTATCTTAGTATGTTAAATTATGCGGCATACCATGTCTCACAAAGGCTGTTATGTGGTTGACAGTTGGTCAACTAATAGTTTGGATCCATACTATGACAGTTTTGATGTGAGATGGTTGATGCTAAAAGCCTGTAGAACTTAGTTAAAACTTTTAGGTTTTCCCCGTATGATCTTCTTGTTGTTTGTTGTGTGTTGGAATAAGAAAAAGTCTCAACTAATAATTATACATAATCAGTTTGGAGCTAATAAATTTTTCTGATTTTCTAATTGTAGTTTGGTGTTGCTATCGTCATAACAAACCAAGTAGTTTCACAAGTAGATGGTTCTGCAGTCTTTGCTGGACCTCAAGTCAAGCCTATTGGAGGGAACATTATGGCTCATGCTACAACAACAAGGTACGAACTGCAAATATGAAATGTCTAGGTTTAGTTCTTGTCTGAGGTCGTTCACACCCTGGATGTTAATTAATTTCTTGATGACAGGCTGGCTCTCAGGAAAGGCAGAGGGGAAGAGCGAATCTGTAAAGTGATAAGTTCTCCTTGTTTGGCTGAAGCTGAAGCAAGGTTTCAGATTTGTGGCGAAGGAGTTTCAGATGTTAAAGACTAGCCAAATTTAGCCTGTGTAGATCTTTTTTACTTTTTGCTCGTGTCTTTTTGTAAGGTACAGCAGTTGGACCCTATTTGAATAAACTTTTTAGTAAACACTTATAGGAAAAGAAAAATTTTTGGTTAAGGAATTAAGATTTTATCATTAGTTAAAACTAACTTATGTATAAGTTAAAATTAGCTTTTGGAGAAATTATTTTAACTTTCACATAAGTTAGTTTTAACTAATGGATTTCATTATACCAATTTTTTTCTTCTTCTCCTATAAGTAGTTATTGAGAAATTTATTCAATCAGGGTTTTGATTTTGAATGTATACAAAATCAAATTTTGCAATATTTACAGTTTGGTGGCCCCAATTTTTAGCCCGTGCCAGTTGCCCATTTCCTCTCTTTGCTACATTTTGTGATATCGATATTGATACATTTGTAGTTACTAACTATTGAAGTATAGATCCACAGTTTTACGCTGGCTTTTGAACTGAATATTTACATCAGTACTAATAGAAATAGAGAAAAAAGGATCAACAAAGTTTATACGACTAAGGTACTTGTATTAAACTGAGGTATCGTTATGCGATTAAGATTAAAAGTATATCTATTTATTTATTATATATTGTGAATTTTACACGAACTTGGTAAATGCATAGAACATTCGACTAAATACCTCCATGGTTGACTTATATTAGTTATCACCACGAAACAGCAAGCTTCAATGTAGATGCAATTGTTTGGGGGTAAATTCTGTTACGGAAGTCTTTCCAAACTCTCATTATCATGTCAACTCTAGTAAGTTTGATTAGTTAATTCTAGTTTTTCAATGTATGAGTAAATTTGTGAGCAAACTAACCTCATAATGTATTTCAATATTTTTAATAGATGAATATTTTGATGGCACAACACTAAAGTTAACCTAGTGGTCAAGAATTATGGTATTTTAATATCTTAATAAATGAATGTTTTGATGAAACAATATTAATGTTGACTTAGACAACACTAATGTTGACTTAATGGTGGAATTGTGATAATATGCGTAAGATTCGATAGCATAATTTATTAACAAATTTATCTTCTTATTTAAAAAATGTTTCATTCTCTGTCTCTCTTTAATCCACATGATAGTGGAACATATTTTGATGAGGATTTAGGAAAGAAATTATTTTGTCTTTTTTTCATCTCTTTTGAACTATTCTTTTCAAAATTTACAATATTAAACACATTTTAGAGACACAAAAGGAAAGAAGAAAATATATGGGCGAAGGAAATTTAAAAAAAATGGAGTGAAAAACAGAAGAGGGAGTATAGACTTATTTTCTAAGTAAGCATTAAAAATATTAAATTTGACCTCTTAAATAATTACTTGATCAAAATTTGACCCCTCTATCAAAATGGTAGAGATTTTAATCGTTTATTTATTTCACATAAATTATATATTATTCCCGATATACTAAGGATGAATTTGAGGATCACTTATCATTATTTTAAGAATTAAATTAACATTATTCATTTTTTGAGTATTAATTATTACACCACATACTAATTATATACCTAAAAAAAATAACTAAAGGGCTAAAATCCCTCGTTTTGAAATTTTGAGAGATGATTTTGTATTTTAGATTATCGTGAATTTAAGTCCAAAGTATTATTAAATAATAGTCTTTTTTTTTGTTATTAAAAAAATAAGTTAAAGCAAGACACAAATTAATTACCTATTTTATTTCTATACAAATTTATATAAAAGAATAAAAAATATAAAAAAAATTAAATTCAATATTAAATTTCTAATAAAAATGAAGAGATTTATCTAATAAATATTAGTCTAATACACTCATAATATTTATAAGTTTTAAAGATATTGTGTTCCTAATTTTGAAAATAAATTAGCTCAATAAATTTAAGTTTGTTAATAAAGCGTAAAGCATCTACGGTCAACTTCCAAATAGTTGTTGCGAGATTTATTATTATTTTTTTTCCAAAATAACCTTGAGTGCATTAAATATTTTTTATAGTTTTAACAGAGACTAACAGGTAAAAGGTACTCTGGGACTACATTATATTAAAAGAAAATAAATAAATAAGAAAAAAAATGAAAAGTTATTTATAAAAAAGATAATTATTAAAAAATAAATAAAGGATAAAATAATCTATATAAAAATGAAAACTAAAATATACACAAACATAATATTTAATTAAAAAATATATTTTTTTCTAATTTTTTAAAATAAAATAATATAATAATAATAATAAAAATAGAGATCAAAATAATTATCAAAAAAGATAATATTAAATAAACACATATAAGATAATATTAATATAAAATTATTAATAAGTATAATAATTTGATAAAAGTTATTACATTCTTTAAACCTTTCTGTCCCTATATATATATATATATACATATATAGTACCTTTTGTATATATGATTCGACTTCTTTCACAATATTTTCGTTTACTTCTGTATTTTTAATTCTTCACCTCTTATATGTAATTGAGTGAATTTTAAATTAAATAATTTGAAGAACATGTATAAACTCTTTAAATGTTTTAATTATAAATATTAACAAAATTTAACATAAATACATATAAAATAATATGAAATTATAATTTAATAATTAAATTTTATATTTAATATAAAATTATTAAGAGAAATAATAATTTGATAAAAATTATTACATTATTTAAACCTTTCTCTCGCTCTATATATATATATATATATATATATATATATATATATATTATTTTTGTATATATGATTCGACTTCTTTCACAATATTTTCGTTTACTTCTGTATTTTTAATTCTTCACCTCTTATATGTAATCGAGTGAATTTTTAATTAAATAATTTGAAGAACATGTATAAACTCTTTAAATGTTTATTTTTTTTAAACATTTTGATTTTATTATAAATTTAGCTAAATTAATTTTGTAATAAGAAGACAGACACCTTGCAATGCACACAACTGGTAGTTACGTTGAACTGAGAAACAAAACGCAGCGTTTGATGCGAAGAGACAAACTGGTTGTTATTATGTAAGGAAGAAGGGACAGGGGAGGAAGCAGAAGCAGAAGCAGAAGCAGAGCGAAGCGGTGACAGGAAAATGGGAAGCAGAGGTCCACCGCAATCTCATCCGAACTCCGCTGCCATTTCCAAGGGCTACAACTTCGCTTCCACTTGGGAACAGGTTTCAACACTTTTCCTCTCGCATCCAAATCTCGCTTCTCTTTTAGCCCTAGTTACCTCGATTTCGTAGATCTCGTGTTTTCTAATTGCATTTCCATTTAATTATTGTCACATCATCTTAATTAATCCTTTCACTCACAAATGAATCTCACTCCGTCGCGGATCAGATCTGCGACGTTATTTGCAGTGATTTGATTTTTTTTAAGTTAATTGTGTTTTGCAGAATGCTCCTTTGACGGAGCAACAACAAGCCGCGATTGTGTCGCTTTCTCACGCGGTTTCTGAGCGACCGTTGCCGCTCAAGTTGGTGAGCTTTTCTGTGCTTGTTCTACTGTCATTTACGTTTAATTGCTATTCTATTTAAACAATTTAATGTAATTCGCATGTGTAGGCTCAAGAGAATGTGTCGGTGCAAGACAATGCGTTGTCCGTTAAAACGAAGGATAGTTCTTTCGATGATGCTGGTGCTATCGAGACTGTTATGGTCAATACTAATCAGGCAAGTTGTCTGCGCAATCTGGTTTGTGGCTTTTAATGCTTGACATGAGTTTTTACGTGGTTTTTTTTTCTTTTCTTTTTTTCTTTTAATTTGATGCAGTTCTACAAATGGTTTACGGATCTCGAATCTGCCATGAAATCAGAGGTTTGTAGTTACTAGTCTTATTATGCCGCCAATGTTTCAGATTCTGTTTATTTTTATTGTTGATTCTTGACTTAGTCTCCAATTATAGACAGAAGAGAAATACCAACATTATGTGAATACTCTAACAGAGCGCATACAGACATGTGATGAAATTCTCCAACAGGTCATTTTCTATCTAGTTCTAGTGGGTTAGATGCGGCTAGCTAATTTGGCAACCGTTTTTTTCTCATTCAGTTCTCCATTTGGACGACTTGATCTTGTGCAGGTTGATGACACGCTAGACTTATTCAACGAACTACAGTTGCAGCATCAAGCAGTGGCTACAAAGACTAAAACGCTGCATGATGCATGTGACAGACTGGTATGGTGTTGTTACCTATCAGTCTATCACCTCAATTCTTTTTTATTTTTTTGAAGTGTTGGTTTGTTACCTATTAACCAATTCTTCTTTATTTTTTTAAGTGTTGGCTGGAATGATTGTAAAATTCATATTGTAGGTAGCGGTTGCTAGGGATCTCTTATTCCTTTAATAGTAGACCAAGTAGGTTAATGTTGTGTAAACTAATAAATCAGAAAAATAAGTTAAAGAAACTGAAGATTTTATGTCGCTTGTCTTCATTTTCCTTCATGAATGGTGAAAAAAATTTCTCTTTAGTATAAATGAATTAGATGCCACACATTTTGTTGGATTTATTATTCCTATTTGGAAGTTGAAAGTCTATGATCTTTTCTTAGATTTCTTCTTATGCTGAAATGACTGACCTGCTCACTATTATTTTTTTATTACAGCTACAAGAGAAGCAAAGACTAATTGATTTTGCAGAAGCACTTCGTAGTAAACTCAATTACTTTGATGAACTGGAGAATGTAAGGTTTGACTGCTGGCTTGACTGGATCTTTTTGACTTTTTCTTAGATTTAATTTTGCATTATTTTTTTTTCGTAATGATCTAATAGCATGTTACATCTTGAAGAATGTGAACACACTAATAGGACATACAGAATCAATGTCAATGTGTAATAGCACATGTAAAATTTATATGCTTCTAGTACCTTATAATATAAGCCACTGAAAGGTGCCATTTTGGTGGACATCAGGATGGTGCCACAATGAGTGCTAAGACAAGTTGTTTCCTGTGGAACGTGTAATAAAAGTGGGATCATTTTTGTATGTTTTCTGACATTGTGAAATTGGAAAACTTAGACACTTGCATCAAATTGATGATTGTTTTAGCAGTTTTTTTGAAAAAAGTATTTGTTGCTTGTGAAGATTGTATTTTTTTTTGGGTATGTATTACAACCACTTAATTGATACAATTACCACTTCTTTAGTCTTACTGTACTGTTGTAAGAAAAAAGTATTTGCTGCTGCTGCATTAATCTTCGAAATCTGCATG